CCACCACCGCTGGACCCTGACCCCAGCTCCAGCCGCACCGCTGCTGCTAATGTGCAGACGTCTGACGAATCCAGCGCTGCAGGTCCACTGCCATTTCTCGTTTCATAACAATTTTAGGTCAGATGTATATTTCCCCAGCTATCTTTTAAATTATTTAATTGTTAAGCTCTTTATAACAATCTACTACTAGAATTGCTGCTATCAATATTGATAATATAAATTGACATAATAATCTTAAATTTAACGACTAAATATATAACATTGGGTGCGTAATATATCATTAACATATCAATTGTAGCAGTATTATTTTCATTTACCATAATAATCGATATTGGATATAAATTGGCTGAAATTTAATATTTAATTGAATCGGTTGTTCCCTTTTTTACATTTAAATCACCTTTGCTGTCATCTGTCTCTGATTATTATCAACTGTTTTAAGTGTAACCGTATTTCATATTTCAAACTAAATATAAATTTTCATGCATTATAATATTATGATGTCTAAAATTGTACATTTTAGGTTTTTAATTTGTCTAAATGTATTTAAATATGTAATATCATCTAATATATAAATAAATCACAATGTCTAATATCATCTAACATAAAAAATTATTTATAATATTTTATGTCAGCTAAAGAATTTAAATTATTTGTATTGTTGCTGGCTAGATTTCTCATTCTGCTTCCCTGTAAAAAGGGAAAAAAAAAACTGGATGCACCAATAATTTACAGTTACAAACTGAACAATAAAATAGGAGATCAAACTCTACTAATTGATAATGAAATGTTAATTAATTTATTTTTTGGATCTATTCAGCCATATTTTTCACTCCTTTTCTGATCCTTAGAATTAAACCCTTTTTTTACTCCTGTATCATTAAGACATGTGTTCCAATTTGTTTTGTTTTTTACAAAAAAATATTGATATTTTGTATATCGATTATGTATTTATGTTGATTTTTGTTTTGTTTCGTTTCATACTGTTTAAAATTTTAGCTTTCAGTTTATTTTCAATTATTGTTTAATTAAGAAATAATGGTTTTTGACCAGTCTTTGTAAAGCAGAATGAAAAATGGTGATATTACAATTTTGGTAAACGTTTAAAAATGTATTATTATGTAAGCATATTTGATAGTTCACCCCAAAATGAAATGAAAATTGAAATGAAAATTTCTAGAAAGAGAGAGAGATGGGGGGGGCGTGGAGGAAAACTTTCCATACAGTGAAAGTCAATGGGGTCCAAAAACCCATATCTAGAAAGAGTGGCGTGGCCGATTTAATTTTGTTCAATTTAATGTCAACAAATGAGAGCCACATATTATGAGCTTCATGATCATGTCTCTAGTGGAAGTAAAGCATCCTTGCTGCTGTATTGTGTGTTTGTTCTGTAGGAGTTGAGGAGGTGGAGAGCTCAGGCGGCGTTCGGCTCCTCTCAGGGAGCGTCTCTCTCGTCGTCCCAGAGGCAGGACTCGTCCAGCGGGGGACATTATGTCTTCTCTAAGGCTGTGCTGGTGTCTCAGACGGGGGGCAGTAGGGTTCTGTCTTACTGCGAGCCTCTCGGCTGCCTGCTGGCGTCTCAGCCTTCTCCACAAGCAACCTTGGTGCCAGGTAGGAATTTGAGCTCTTCCACATTGATTTTTTTCCTTGCGTTGTTTATATAAGCATTGATTGATTGATCGCCGCTCCCTCAGGCTTCGGTGTGAAGAAGATCAGCACTGCGACTCTCAAGCCTAGTCAGTATGTTCCCATCCACTCCAAACAGATCCGAGGTCTGGCCTTCAGCCGACACCAGGACAGCCTTCTGCTGTCTGCGGCCCTCGACAACACAATCAAACTCACCAGGTGAGAGACTAATGCTTTCCTCCTGTGTAGTAATTGTGTGTTCGCATTACATGTTCTATTACAAAATACTTAAGAGCCAACAAAGCACACCAAGTTACACCTGCTATAATTAAATGGCATATAAAACACAAGGCTGGGAATTAATGTGACACTGACTGATAATATAATTTATGCTGATTAATCGGCATCGACTTTTAGATACATAAATAGTTTTTTGGTTCTGTTCTTACAAAATACACTTCATGTAGTTCTGTTCGAAGGACCGTAAGAGCAAGGTAAAATATATAAATAAAATCTATGTATCTATAAATCGATATACATCTGAAAAATACAGTATAATCGTCATATGAGTGCACATGGACATTATGCTGTAACTAACATTTAACAACAACAAGAGAAAAAAAAGACTTGATAAATTTTTCTTGTGCATCATATTTATATTTCATGTCAAAATAATGTTTTTTTTATAGCCTATAGCCTTAACTTTAGAGGATTTGTTGTGGAGAGAAGGAAACCAATAACTGTGTTTAGATATGTATACTTTTCTAGGCAAACTGGTTTCGGAACGGTAATAATAGAGAGGAACACAGGAACAGAAACGTTAAAATATTTTCTAAATATATGCTGTATGTGTGTGTCTTTATATATACATAATAAATATACACAGTACACACATATTATGTAAACAAAAACTTTTATTTTGGATGCGATTAATCGTTTGACAGCACTAATATATATAATATATATATATTAGTGCTGTCAAACTAAATTTATTTTTTATTTTTTTCAAAAACATTCTCATGATAGGACATTGTTAATTTTAGAATAAATCAATTCAGCACATATTTTCATCAAATTGTTTTTTTTGTTTTTTTTTCATATTACTGTTTTTAAATTTTTTTGACCAATTTGTAAATTATTGGCCAGGTATTCCAACATAGTTATTGTTATCAGCAGGGTTATTAAAGTAAACTAAAACTAAATCCATAACAAAAAAAAATGTTACTTGAAATAAAATAAGAAATAAAACAGTATTAAACATATAAATAAACTAATAAAAGTTACCATAACGCAACAAAATTACTAATATTTTATTCAAAATTAAAAAGAAAATATACAGATAAAGTCAAATTTAAAATACTCACAAAAACTATAATAGTATCTCACTGATCGTCAAAATCCAGTATCCATCGACCTCTAAAATCGCTTTCCTGATTAGATTCTGATTCAGCTTAATTTTGTTTAATTTTGACTGTAATCTATAATCAAATGTATCCGTTGTGATGTCTGTTCTCTCTGTTTAATGCTGTAATTTATACAGAGAAACTGATTCAAACCAGTAACTTGTCTTTTTGAACAATTTATTAAACCAGAATCAGACAAGACTAGTCAATAGTTATTTTATTGACTAAAAAGAAGCAGTTGGTAAGAATCATCTGTTAGTGAATCAGACTACATTGGTCATGCTGTAGGTTTGTTTGTGCGTGCAGCCTGTCTGGATTATTTTGTTGTATACTCCTTTTTATTGGATTACTTTCAATACAGACTTGTGAGATATGATTATTCTTTCTGGGTGTGATTTTACTGCTCAGAAACTCATAATAATGGAAATTTGGATGTCTCGTGAATGTAACGACAGTTTTTAGTTGGAAAATGCTTGAACGCAAATCCCAGATGATTTTTTATGCACCAAAAACCAATGCTAATTTTTCATCAGCCTCTGAATATAGCATGTTGAGACTCTTCTGAGTTGCTCCATGTGGATGTTTTGTTCACAGTCTGATGACGAACACGGTGGTTCAGGCCTACAACACGGGCAGACCTGTGTGGAGCTGCTGCTGGTGCCATGATAACAACAACTACATTTACGCCGGTCTCGCCAGCGGCTCTGTGCTGGTGTACGACACGCGGGACACCAGCACTCACGTTCAGGAGCTGGCGCCGCTGCGCTCCAGGTCACTTTCAACTGTATCGGCTTTGGTCAAACTGTAGCATGCTGTAATTGAAGAGTTCATTTGCAAAAACAGATAACTCCATTCTTATGTATTTTCAGAAATCATGTTTTTTTTGTTGTGCATTCCAAGTAATCTCAATCAAACTGCAGTTGGGTTGTTTTGATTAAGTAATAACTCAAACAAATACAGGTAACTTACAAAATTAAAGTTCATTGAAAGTATGTTTATATATATATATATATACAGTATATACTGTATATTTAGTCACTTCCGTGTTGGTTTCACGAGAGAGACCGGAAGGTTGCCGCTTGGGTATGTTATATAAATGAAGAGTTCATTTTCAAAAACCAATAACTGCATTTGGGTTGTTTTGATTAAGTAATAATGACTTACACAAATAATGTTACAGGTAATTTACAAAATTAAAGTTCATTGAAAGTATGTTTATATATATATATATATACAGTATATACTGTATATATATATATATATTAAACGTTGTTTTATAGCAAAAGCAGATAACTCCCAACAGTCGTTTTTTGGCAAAAGCAGATAACTCCACATTTCATGTTCTAGAGTTAAACAAAAACACTAACTCGTTTAATCTTTGTAGTCTCCTCAGATGACAATGTAGACGTCTGACAAACGTTGTTGTGATCATAGACTGTATGGTACGCAATACACGGAGCTTTTCCCTCACCATTGTAACGTGCTGCTTTTGCAAGACTCTTTATTTTCCTTTTTCGCCCTGAAGAAGATATTAGTATAGTACATATAGTTAACATACATATAGTTTGTCAAAATTATCCATCCTCGATCACTTTTAGTCAGCTTTGACGAAACTCCTCTCAGCTAGCACGTCTTTTCAAAGTGACTGGCAACCTTGTCACCTGACCTGAATACAGCGTGCTGATTCGCTAAAATGGACTTATCGGCTTGAAAGTGGACAATACCGGCTTTTTTGACAAAACGTTTTTAGGGTTCAGATCGCGCTATATGTGGAGAATAATGCACAGCACTCAATTCTTTTATTGAATCAATTCTTAGTGGCGTTTATCGGTTTTTGCAAATTAACTCTTTGTATATTACTTGATTGTGTTCTATACAAACTGTGGAGAAACTGTTTGTTGATAATATTGTCCTGCTTCTTCATTGCAGCTGTCCAGTGGTGTCTCTGTCCTACATCCCGCGCGCCGCCTCCAGCATGTTCCCGTGTGGCGGCCTGATCGCAGGCACGCTGGAGGGCGGCTGTTTCTGGGAGCACATGGAGGGAACCACATACACGCCCCACATCCTGCCTCTAGAGTCCGGCAACTGCACAGACATACAGGTGGAGCCGGACAGCAGACACTGCCTCGTCACGTACAGACCAGGTCCTTATCCAACTCGCATACCAGCCCTGTTCTCATATTTACGTATCGCAGTTATTTTCTTTTTTTCGTCGAAAGGTAATATGATGGCTGCCAGTATAGAGTTATACTGTTCTAGTGGTTTTATTCAGCTGGAAAGCTTATTTATTCAGCTTTCAGTTGACGTATAAATCTCAATTTCGAAAAATTGACACTTAAGACTGGTTTTGTGCTCCAGGGTCACATATTGTTTCGATATCAATATAATGATTTATATAATACACATTCCTATTTTAATTTAAGGTTACTGTATTTGATTGCATGTCTTTGTCTTTTGATTTCTTGCGTCTCGGTTCATGTCTGTTTTGTGTCGTCCAGGTCGTGCAAACCCGTCACTGCGTTGTGTTTTAATGGAGCTCAGCCGGACGCCTCAGACAGACAGCAGCCAGCCGCCCGTCTGCTCCTGCTCTCCGGTCCAGACCTTCACCGCGGGATCCTCCTGCAAGCTACTCACCAAGAACGCCGTGTTCAAGCGTCCGGCCGGAGAGGCAGCCACGCTAGTATGTGCTGGAGACGAGGCCACAAACTCCACCATGGTGAGAAGCGCTCCTCATCCAGTCGCTTACACATGGATCACATCACATGTTTCTCATTCAGTATCTAGTTTCATTTGGTTATGCATTGCTTCTGAATGTTGATGCTTGTGTAAGCAGTTTGATGCTGGTCCTGTTAGTTATGCGCACATATTCAGCATGATTTCTCCGCTCTGTCTGCAGGTCTGGGATGCCGGCACTGGTGCTCTGCTTCAGAAGATGCCTGCGGATCTCCCCGTGTTGGACATCTGTCCGTTTGAGGTCAGCCAGAGCAGCTTTCTGGCCTCTCTGACCGAGAAGATGCTCAAGGTCTATAAATGGGAGTGAGGCTGAGAGTAACATTCAAACAAAAATCTGAATAAGCCTTTCTCATAAACCAAATACTGGTGGACTGGGACGCCGGGTGACACTGTTGTCTTTTCACTGTGTGCTTTTTTCTGGGTTTTGTTTGTTTTAAATCTAAATCCTTTATTATTTTCTGTTCATTATAAAGAGTTGTCTGTTTTTGACCTTAAAATCAGGGCTTTATTAATGTCTTAGATAAGAGTGATCAGTGTTTTCATCGTATATATGCAAGTGTCTTTTGTCTTTTTAATAAAAGAATAAATGCCTACATTGACACAGTTTGTGAGAACCTTAAAAACATCTATATAGGAGTGGCACAATTAAATCAATAGGAAATATACAAAGACAATTTTGCAGTGATCTTTTATTAAGTTAATAAAGTTGATATTAGGAATATTGTCATAACAGGGATTTGAGTCAAAATCGAGTTATTTCTTCGGTGTCATAAATTTAAGAAATGTTCTTAAGAAACTAATATGTTATTGGTAATTAAAATAAGAGTTATTGTTTTGTTTTTTTACTACAAACATAAGTGAATAGTGCCAATATTTTAACTAACAGATCTCACCATACTTTCCCCTTTCCATAATTAATCATAGTCATATATTAAAATAATTGTTTTGCAAGTTTTCTGAAATATGTTTAAATTATCTAATTACTAATTTACGTAAATTTCAGAAATCAACATTATAAAGCCAAAAACAACATTATTTCATTTTGTTGGCATATTATAGTTAAAGGGTTTTACGATGGGATTTTGAATATATATTTTTATCATTCCATAAATCAGAAAATATTGTCAATAGCCATTAAAAAAGATAATTTCACCATATTTTAAGAATAACATGCAAATGTTCTATGTACAAACCCCTCTGTTTAAAATCTTCAGAATATATATATATATATATTAGTGCTGTCAAACGATTAATCGCATCCAAAATAAAAGTTTGTGTTTACATAATATATGTGTGTGTACTGTGCATATTTATTATGTATATATAAATACACACACATGCATGCATATATTTTGAAAATACATGTATTTACATGTATATATTTATATTCTTATATTTTATATATAAATATATTGAACATAAACAACATATTTTTTCTTAAATATATACATGCATGTGTTTGTATTTATATATACATAATAAATATACACATTATACACATTATGTAATCAAAAATGTTTATTTGGGATGCGATTAATCGTGATTAATCGTTTGACAGCACTAATATATATATATATATATATATATATACAAACCGCTTTTGCAAGGTATGTGTTGTAATTGAAATCTACGGTCAGACGTAAATAAATAGAGTGTAATAAAACATTACAACATGCATAATTCTGAAGTTGTGTCATGTAAATAAAAATTGTTACTGTTCGTTAACAAGCTATAATAACTGTTTTCTGCAGAATATAAGTTTTCCTCCAGAGGGCGCATTCTCCCTTGAGCCCAAAGGCTTGAGCCATATTCTCTTTTTTGCAAGACACGTTTGCTTTATAAAAGATAGAATTGAAGTGTTATTTCCAGAAATATTGTTTGACATAAAATGTCATTCAAACACAAAAAGAATCTCGATTAAAATAAATATACTATCCTGTGATCATAAACGATCCTGATTGGTGCATCCTGGTCATCGCTGAGAAAAGTTACAGGAACCAGGTGACAACACCACATTATGCGTTACTGCAGCAGCGTAAGTTTTTCCTGAATAAAGACACTGATAAACTTAAAATTGTTTGACTGAGAATACACAGTGAAAAGTTAAAACATAAAAATAACGTTACTTATAGTTACACACCCATCATACAAAGTCTGGACCTCTAAGCCCCGCCCATTTCTCAACTCCCTGTTTCATGCTAATTTCTTTCCTTATCTTCCTTTTATCTAATAAACCAAGTATCTTTAGTCTACGTGGCCCATGTTTAGTTCGTGAACCCTAAATTCCGCACCACTTCAACCGAGAACTAACGAATCCTACTACGGTTGGGGATTTATCTCATGGATATTAATAACACAACCCGCTCGGACTTTCAGCAAGCGACGCGACGTCATCGCGTGCTCATTAATATTCATGAGCGTCCTCCTGGCCGTAGTGGGATTCGTAAGTTCTCTCCGCGAAGATGGCGGCGTGTAGACGTGTGCAGCGACTGCTGCTGTTGATGTTGATCTGCGGCTGGATTGGTTCTGCTCATGGAGGCAAATTGGACACTGAAAACGCCGCAGATAATGCCGAAAGAGGTAAAAATGCAGCGGGAGAGGGGAAAGCAGCGGCGCCGGATGGGGCCTCCTCGGTGCGGCGCAGCGGCGGCTGGAAGCTCGCGGAGGAGGCGGCCTGTCGGGAGGACGTGAGCCGGATCTGCCCCAAACACTCCTGGAACAACAACCTGGCCGTGCTCGAGTGCCTGCAGGACCGAAAAGACGTAAGAAAACACGGCCGAGTCTGTATTTAACTCATAGTCTGTGAGCGCGGGGCGATTAAACCGCGTACAGAGCAGAACTGACTGATCATCAGTCTACATCACGTTACGTTAGTGTGCTATACTAACACGCATCTGGATCTGCAGCGTCTTTGTGCATTTGTGCGACATTCATAAGTTACAGGACATATACATTCATAAGGTACAAGCACGGGTGACGTGAGAAGATATTTGCTAATATAATCAAAAACCAGACGCAGATTGACAAGAAAGGCCTCTGAATGTCACATACAGGGGTTCATGATCTGGTTATCACGATTAACCGAGTGCTTCCTGTTAATGGCTGTGTTTCAATCCTTTGTGTGTTGCCTACTTAGAGCTCACCAGTAAGTTACGCCCAAATATGCGGTCCGAGTCAGCCCCTCTGTGACGTCACCGGCACTCTTAGCGTGCGCGACCGATATTATATTATGATATTATGAAAAATGCCGTCACCGATACTAGCAGCAGCAGCAGGGTGGTAAAATACTGACTTGCTGCCTTATCAGTCAAAGACTTGCAGGCAGCGTTTTTGCACGAAGACACCTCATGAAACTGATTTCGGACAGGCTTCTGACTCCGAGGCAGCGTAACGGTTTAAAGGGGTCATATGATGCTGCTAAAAAGAACATTATTTGTGTGAACATTTGGGCGGTGTTATGCAAATCTTCCCACATAGTGTGGTAGATATGTGGGGGCGTGTTCGAACGAGCCGTTTTAGGTAGGTGTGGCTAACTCTTAACTTTTATAAAGAATATCTCTTTGGATTTGAGACTTTAGTCTTTGCAACTTTACAGATCTTCTTTATGCACCAAGAGCTTGTAACACTCTAAAGAGAAAGGAAAAAATGAAATCGCATCATATGACCCCTTTAATGATCTACAACAAAATAGAACGAGTTTTGATGATAACATAATATAATATATAATATAATACTGATTTCTCGCTAGAAATAACATCAAAAGTGCAAAAGTTAGTCAGAAATATACATTTACACAGAAACTGACCACCAAACGCAACTTTCAGACGCCATCTTTATTTATTTTTTATCCCAACTGTAACGGAATGGAAGGAACGCACAGGATTGTGGGATATCAAAGGCAGCCAAGGATACATCTATGCTGCCTTCAAAATTTTATCAGAAGGTACCTCCGGAGACAGGAAGTGAAGCAGAATTAGGATTCAGACGTGCCTTGATGCCTTCCTGCCTCCGAAGGGAGCATTTTAGAGCTTTTGGACGCAGCGCAAGTAACGTTAATGGTAGCAAATAAGATGAGCACAGTGGCTTCTGTTAAAGTCGGCATTATAAATAAAATATACATGATTTTCTGTTTTGGAAATTAAAAGCTGTGTATTGTAAATGTTTGCACTTTGTATACATGTATATACAAATATTCATTTATTTTAATTTGACCTCGTAATATTTAATAACTCAATCTTTCAGTTAAAATGTCTGACTTCTCTCTGGTGACACAAGGGAAGGGAAAAGATAACCCAAAAATTAAAATCCTGTCATTTACTCACCCTCATGTTGTTCCAAACGTGTAAGAGTTTCTTTCCTCTGTTGAACACGAAAGAAGATATTTTGAAGGATGTTGGCAACCAAACAGTTGACGGTAGCCATTGATGTACATAGCATTTTTACCTTACTATGGAAGTCGATGGCTACCGTCAACTCTTTGGTTGCCAACATCCTTCAAAATATCTTTTGTATTCAACTGAGAAAAGCCTGTTCCAAACATGCAAGAGTTTGAATAAATGAGCATTCAATCAATCGTTAACATTCAATCAACAATCGGCAGATTAATTGGCTGATATAATGTTGCATCGTGCACTTCCGAGAAAGCTCATTTTCATATCATTCTTAAGCAGAATTATAATTCTCATGAATAGGTATATCTGTAAAATGCACTATTTTTTTTTTATATTCTTCACAGTATTTGCAAATATTTGGGTTTTTATTTGGTTTTAGTCACATTCACCTCAAAAATAACTATAAAATATAAAAATAATTTCTGAAAGTGATTCCGGGGATATCATTACTCAATGTTGTTGGAGTTGTGGTATAATTAGAACGATTATTAACTTTATATTTGGTTTCATTGTAGTTATCATCCTTGGTATGAACAAGGATGGCTTGTATACTGAATTTCTGCTGTTGTTCGACTTGACTGACTGGTTGTGCAGTGTTCATTTGTAGAGGAGGGTTCATGATATGTGAGTACTGCTATTAGTTTGGCAAGGGTTAGCCATTGTTTGGTGAAACGGCACCATCGTTTGAATAGTGGCATGATCACAGATACGGAAGCAATATGATCATTGAGGTCCTTGTGTAATAATACTTCTAAAGTGTCCCATTTATTGCCAGTGTCAGGTCTGATAGATGTGTGATGCGAGTCAGGTAATTAGCTCTTAGTTACTGATTACACAAACAGCGCTTTTACTTTTGTTGAACATTTGTTGAATGGTTCTTAACTAGCAGAACTAGGTTTCCCTTTACTTGTGCTGATTATGGGTTTGGCGTTGGTTCTGTGATCTGTTGTATTGGTTTGTTCAGGCCTGGCAGGCCAGGGTCTGTTTATGGTGGGTCATTTTCTCAGCTCTTCATCACATTGCAGGTTATTTTACTAGATGTTCTTCCCAGCCTGGTCATAACTATTACAAATTATTTCTCTGTCAGTTCATCACAGATAAAGGTTATTTCATCTTGCTGTTCATCGCATTATATTTCTCAGCTGTTCACCACATTACATGTTATTTATCTGCCTGTTCATCATATTACATGTTATTTCTCAGCTGTTCATCACATTACAGGCTAATTCTTTGGCTGTTCATCACCATTACATGTTATTTCTCAGCTGTTCATCACATTACAGGTTATTTCTCAGCTGTTCATCACCATTACATGTTATTTCTCTGGCTGTTCATCACCATTACATGTTATTTCTCTGGCTGTTCATCACATTACATGTTATTTCTCGGCTGTTCATCACATTACAGGCTAATTTGACTGCATCACCATTACAGGTTATTTTTCAGCTGTTCATCACATTACATGTTATTTCTCGGCTGTTCATCCCCATTACAGGTTATTTTTCAGCTTTTCATCACCATTACAGGTTATTTCTCAGCTGTTCATCACCATTACAGGTTATTTCTCAGCTGTTCATCACCATTACCGGTTATTTCTCAGCTGTTCATCACAATTACAGGTTATTTCTCAGCTGTTCATCATATTACAGGTCAATTCTCTGGCTGTTCATCACCATTACATGTTATTTCTCAGCTGTTCATCACCATTACAGGTTATTTCTCAGCTGTTCATCACCATTACAGGTTATTTCTCAGCTGTTCATCACCATTACAGGTTATTTCTCAGCTGTTCATCACCATTACAGGTTATTTCTCAGCTGTTCATCACCATTACAGGTTATTTCTCAGCTGTTCATCACCATTACAGGTTATTTCTCAGCTGTTCATCATATTACAGGTCAATTCTCTGGCTGTTCATCACCATTACATGTTATTTCTCGGCTGTTGATCACCATTACATGTTATTTCTCAGCTGTTCATCATATTACAGGTCAATTCTCTGGCTGTTCGTCACTGTGACAGGTTTTTTCCTCTGGCTGTTCATTACCATTGCAGCTTGTTTCTCAGCTGTTATAGGTTATTTTGTCATCGCTGTTACAGGTTTATTGGGGTAATCACTTGATCTAGTTCAGGTTGTTTTTCAGTTTGTAACATTTTATTGCTTAATGATCATGTGAATATGTCCTTCAGAGTTTTCCGTGTTTTTCTCAGACTGAACTTTAGACTTTCTCTTCCCATGGAGAATCACTGTCAGTGCGAGTCCTTACTTTAAGGTCAATTATTTAGCTGTACAATGTTCCTCATTGTTTCTCATAAATAAAGACTGAATGGAGACAGTTTGTTTACATCCATAATTTATAATCTGCTGGAGGCAAAAGGCCCTGGTGGCTTTTTAAAAATGCTGTTTTCTAAAATAAAATCCTGATACAGCTGGAGAAAATACCTTGTCGCCAGACCTTTTATATGTTGAGGCGACAACGGTCCAAATAAGCAGTGATTTTTCTGGTCTCTAAGCAGTATCCTAATATTGCTTCGCAATCATACAGGGTTATAAGTGTTGTAATTTTCACTTGCATTATATATTATAGACAGATGCAGCATAATTGCACAGAGAAGCTGTAGCTTTAAATCCTTTTAGAGTTAATAAATCCTGTTACAAACAAAGGCTAAGAAGACGCTCTCAGCACAGGCCGAGGTCAAAACAGGTTGCTGTGTCTTTGATTGGGTTTGGATGCTTTTTTTAGTAACATTGTGATACTTATCAAGGCCTTCAGCTCCATGAGAATCAAGTATTATACGCTTGATATTTACAGCGGGCCGTCAACAGCTGTCCTGTGCTATGCCGGGGATGCTTTCTGCCTGGGCTTGTTCTCAGCTGTTCAAATAAAGATCGGTATCAAGTCAGCACAGTTAGGGAGACCCTACTGTTATGTTGATTGCTCTTGACTGCTGAAGTTTTCACATCACAAAGAGTATTTTATTAGCGGAGGAATAAAATGTAATTAAAAGGCCTCTATTTTTGATTAAAGCTGCCAAAGGCAATGTTGAAGACATACTCTCTCAGTTTCTACAGATGCTGACCTTCTCTCTAGTTCTTCATGTTACCGTGTGCTAGGGCTGTGTATCACCAGCAAAGTCACGATACGATACGTATCACGATACAGAGGCCGCGATACGATACGTATCGATACAGGACTGCACTGAATTTCACCTCAGCAGAATTTAGAAAAACAGCTGTTTATTAAACACTGCTTACTATAGTGCCATTTCTAACTATTGGCAGAGCAGGCAGCTGACCTCTGCATTATGAAGGGCCTCCATAACTGTACCACAGTACAATATAGGTAATGGCATACGTTTCATGTTTACATTGGGCACTCCCCACCAGGTACAATATTCTGATTGTTTGCATCTTGTTTTTAAGCCCATAAATAATAATGTACTCGTTCTAATAAATTTATATTGTCCCGCAGTTTTATCAACTAAATAGCTTAAACGCTCAAGAGCTGCATTATCTTTCTCAACAAGGAGCTGGTAGCATCATTGTTTCTAAAGGAATTAAAGCCACAGCTTTACTGTTAATAGAGAAACGCGGCAAAACGGTGGTAATTCATACATACACAGCCTCTCTCTCTCTCTCTCTCTCTCTCTGTGTCATAAATGAACAGTTTATGAATCACACTTTTCTGAGAATAGAGTATTGAAGTGGAGATCGCTAAACTGCAAGCTAACCGCTGTTTTCAGAAAGCAAGCGCGTTTATCCACAGTGGAGAGAGAGCGCGTGTGCACTTGGTTGCCAGGTTGACAAAGATAAGTAGCACACTTAGCAGATATTTCTGTAATGCGCAAGTGTGAAGCTCTGTTTCGGGGATTACGTATCTTTATATCAGGCAACCATTTATTGTGTTCCTCTGTGGCCAGATTAAACCTTGTTGTAGCCTATATATGCTCTATTCATTCTTTTTTAGAAACCTCGCACTTTTCTACTCAATTTTAAACGTTGTAAAATTTTAAACAAATTAAGCGCGGTCCACTGCTGCACACGTGCCACAATATCGATACAGGGCCAGCTGTATCGATACTCGTATCGTCAAATCTCTGTGACGATACATCGTCGTATCGATATTTTGAACACAGCACTAGTGCTCATATTTGTCAAATAGCTTTCATTTTGCAGGCAATGTCACACATTTGTCAAACTTAAATGCTCAATCATCAGTCACAGGATTATTGCAGAATACTTTTTCTTCTTGTCATGCCAAACATTGCTGTACGTTTTAACCTTTCGGTTCCTTCCGAAGAATTGCACAGGGAAGAGAGTATCATAAAGTGAATATGAAAGCTGTGTGTTTAATTGACATGCAAATTACCAGTGTGTTTTGGTATGGTAGCTTTAAACGGTGTGCTTTGTCAGTTGACACTCACAGTATTTACTCAGCACACATTTGATTCTCCAGGAGAATGTGAACAAACATCCTCCCAGCATTAAATAATGTAAATCCACCAGATTATGTGAAATTTGCTGATACTAAAAGGCTAAAAAAAAAGAAGAAAAATTTTGATGTAGTAATTTCTTTCACCTCGTTCTGTTCAGTCTGCCTAAACTGAAGTTAAAAAGAGCCTGAAGTTTAAAGGCAGAGTAAGTGATTTCTGGTAGCCAATGTTGATATTTGAAATCACCAAAACAAACACGCCCCTACCCCAAAAGGGTCTTGCCTCTGTTCTGATAGCTCCGCCCCACATATATACGTACGCAACCCAGGCAACGATTGGTTCTGTGAAACAAAGCAAAACCAATGTTACACCGTGTCTACGGACGTGAGCGGCGCGGTGCAACAAATACCCGACAGAAACTGCTGCCGGGTTCTATTTATGAGGTGCTGACACAAATTTCAAATGGTTTTCAACGGTCGTTTGATCGCGTCCAGTGTAGGCAGACTTTAGCTGTTGTAGACACGGTGTTACTCACCTATTGTGAAGAAACAAAGCAAACTCGGCGTCCGATCGCAGGCCTCCCTCCGCTCCTTGAGTTCGCTCCAGCGCTGGAAAGTTGATCCGATATTTACAAGGGTCCTACTTCTTGCCTTATCGTTCCACAGACGTTTTCCTCTTGTTTTTTATCCGCCATCTCTATCTTTCTGTCGCTCGGCTAATATCCGTCCCATGCACTGAACGCGCTCTCCTCCACAGCACGAGTAGACACGCCCCTTACTGCTGATTGGCTACAAGTTTGTTTTGCGATTCGGCCCGAATCAGTTTTCTAAAGTGTTTTTGAAAAATCACATACCCTGCCTTTAATTAGGTTGTTTTAATAATGCATTTTCATACTCAAATGTTTAATTTTTGTCAGAATGTTAATTATCTGATAGTCATCATCTAAAACTTTAGATGCTTTGTTCGTGTGGTAAAACTCTTGTCTTTTTTATTCTCTTTTAAAGCACCAGTACTACAGCCATACATATTCAGACATTTTTGGTTGCTGAAGTGTCACAATGTTTTGAGCATCCCACAACAAGTGTCGTCAAGTTAAAGACTTTAAAAATGCTCTTTGAGGCACTGCGTTCAGTTATGTTGTTGCACTTATTCTACTTGTTTTTAAGCACAATAAAATGTTTTAAATGTTCCTTAAATATTGGGGTGAACCCAAAACCAGTGTAATTACACGGGGCTAGTCTTGAAATTCATGTCGTTTTGCACATGCCTATTACTTTTGTCTGTGTGAACACTTATAATTTATATTTTCTATTCTTAATCTCTCTTTAGGAGACAGAGATCGCTTCAGACTGCAATCATGTAAGTGTTTACACACTATTCCTGTTATTTTTGGTCCTGGATGTTGATGTGAATGAAGGTTGATGGTTAAACCCAAACAAACTAGCTGGAGTTTATTTTGTTGATATTTCAAACCAAAAGTGAGGTTAACTATTCTTTTTGTTTTGTTTGATTTGTTTTGTTTTTTAGTTTGTTTGTTTTATGTTTTTGTTTTAGTGCAACAAATATAAACATTCTCACTTTCAAATAATGTGAAGTATTTTAATCTGTTTAATTTTGCATTTCTTTTCTTTTTTCAGTTAGGCTAATGTCTAAATTGGTTGTTTGAATTTTTAAATTAATATAATTTAAAATAAAATATTGAGTATCAGAAATATAAACATTAGGGATGTAACGATATCAAAATCTCACGATACAATAATATCACGATATAACGTCCACGGTACAATATTTATTGCAATATTAAAAAGAAAAAAGACCAATAAAGAAAAATAAAAAGTTAGTACATTTTAAAGTTAAATTCTTCTATCTTATCTACCATTCTTTTATTTTGAAGGAAAACTCCAGGTTCAGTGAAAACAGGCTTACAAAAACGCGTCTCACTACAAATCTAGTGAAATGCTGTAATCATCTGCCACGAAAATAAAGCCTAACTGGTGGCGTTGCGTTCCCAAGCGCGCACTAAACTCACAGCACTGCAATAAACGAGTTCACTGCATTTATAAGTTGTGAACAAAGCCGTTCTGCGGCGCGGAAATCACCGGATCACGAGCTGATCGCCTCATCAATGTGTGCGCTTCGCTTTGAAACCGACTTGATGAAGGGATTAAGGCTACGTTTACACAACAACGATGTTGTCAAAAACGGAAAAGTTTTTCCCTTGCGTTTTTAAAAAGTTTCACGTATACACGACAACGTTTTCAAAACTATTCGCGTTTACACACATCCGCGAAAACGGCCAAAAATGCTGTATTACGTATGCCAGGCCAGTAGTTGGCGCTGTCACCTTGTTAGTAAACAGTAGCTGTAGGGAAGTGATGACTATATGATGTTTATGATGCGTCTCCGTAAATAAATCCACACTTTGCTGAAGAAGCGTTAGCAAACTCTTGAGCAGCAACAACAGTACCATGTACTCCGCCGTTGTTGTGTATGTTTGTTCGTGCTTGCCTTTAAAATCGACACGTACTGCGCATGTCTACATACCTAACACGTACTACGCACGCGCATGACGTCACCGTTTTCAAAGATTCCCGTATTGTTGTTTACACGGAAACGATAACGGTGGCGTTTTCAAAATCTTGCACTTTGAAACCCGTTTTCAAAAATATGCGTCTTCAGTCCCCAAAACGCCGTTGTCGTGTAAACGAACAGGCAAAACGCATAAAAAGTTTCCAGTTTTTGGATGAAAACATTGTCGTGTAAACGGCCCCGAAGCCATATTGTGTTTTAGGTTTTAGTTCTTTTGACAGATACCGCGCCAAAGCATAATGGCCCAAAACACAACTTTAAAGACCTTTTATGTTAGCATAAGAAGTTTACATATATTTTAAAAACTACACTTTTTGCCCGGAAGAGCTATAGTTTCATATCGTCAAGTGACCACGATAATATCGAGACAGTTTTGATGGTATCGCTACATCCCTAGTAAACATCATTATTCATTCAGTACTGTAAAATGAAGTTATGCAAATAAATCGTCCTGTTTTATTCTTAGCTGCTGTGGAACTACAAGCTCAATCTGACGACTGATCCGAAGTTCGAGTCTGTCGCCATTGAGGTGTGCAAGACCACCATCAGTGGGGTCAGTATGCATAGAGGTGGCGAAGGAAAACCAACTTTTATCTCAAACTGTACCACAAAGTCACTGTAAACCGAAATCGTTTAAACCTGGTTTGTCTCCAGATTAAGGAGTGTGCCGCTGAGGAACGTGGGAAGGGTTACCTGGTGTCGTGTTTAGTAGATCACCGCACCAACATCTCCGAGTACCAGTGTAACCAGTACATCACCAAGATGACCAGCATCGTCTTCAGCGATTACCGGCTGATCTGCGGCTTCATGGACAAGTGCAAGGACGACATCAACAAACTGCACTGTGGAAGCGTCAACACTGGAGAGAAGGTAAGCCCAGGTGCATTGTGGGTAACTGAAAGCAGGCGTATGACCACAGTCTTTAAACCACTGTTTACTTTTTGATGCTTTCTGATAACAGTGCCAGTATTTTTAGCAGCTCTGCAAGTTTCTGCTACATTAGTGTCAAATACAGGACTGTAGCCGAACACTAAAGCAACAAATACATGCTTTTTAGAACTCTTTATTTTATTCATCTTTGCAACTCCGTTTGAAGTTGTTCTTGAAACAGTTCAGTTTTTTTTTCATCGGTTGATATTGGATATTTAATTATGCATGCTCATTTAACTTATTTTAACGTTTAGATTACCTTTGTCATCATTTAACACTCACTCAAATATATAATGTTTAATAACACTCTTAAATTTAATATTAAGTGAATCAAAATGAATATCAATTTCTCATACTGTGCATTACAGTGCTGTGATGCCTAATCTGTAGAATTTAAAATGACAGATTTTTGTTGTTTTTGTTTTTGACAAAATACTATTTATTGGCCATAATGGGACAATAAGCATGTTAATATCGGGCAGCATTATAATACAAGGATACTTCACCCACAGAAGAAAATTGCCAAAATTGATACAACTTCTTCAAATATCCCAAACCCATAAGACTTTCATTCATCTTTAAAGCACAATGAAGATATTTTTAATGAAACCTGAGAGATTTGTCACTCAAGTCCGAAGCTTTAACACTTCAAAATGTTCTTAAAGACATCTTAAAAGTAATCCATAGGCTTTTATTCACATTTAAACGTTGGTCAGCGCACATACATAAAGCACTTCAAATATGGTCAACAGAAGATCAAACTTGCTTGTTTGAAGCACACAAAAACCAACGAGGTTTGTTCTCGCACGTCGTGATCCCAATAGCCTACTGTGTTCGGAAAGAAAATTACGTGTACTACAGAACTCATAAAGGGAATAAATACAAGATGGGATGAAAATATATATTTCAATACTTTCTCTCGCAGTTATATCATTGGGCAATTACACTGTATATAAAAGTACTAATATTGTGACAGCTCTACTATATTTGCGTTTTCATTTTAAAATGGTTGCACACGTGTGTTGAGCTGTGGTGCTCGTGTGAAAAATATGGGTTCAAGTCTGACTCGTGGCCTTTTTTTTTTTTTAAATCCATAATTTCTTCTCTGTTTATTTACCTAGCAGTTAAAATGAAAAATTGCTTAAAACACATTTATTTATTATTACACATTTTTCCATTTGAACTTGCGTATCTGTGTTTTCCGCAGTGCAAGGACGCTCTTTCCACTCGTCAGAAGCTGATCGCTCAGGACTACAAGGTCAGCTACTCACTGGCTAAAGCCTGCAAACCGGACCTGCGTAAATACCGCTGCAACATGGACACGGCCATGCCTCGAGCCAGAGAGGCCAAGCTCTCGTACCTGCTGCTGTGTCTGGAGGCAGCCGTGCACCGAGGTGAGGCTTTGGTGCGATGCGGACGGCCCCAGGTTCTGCCCCCTATAGATCCGGTTTCCTCATGTTTGCGCTCGTTCTGTCGCAGGTCAAACCGTGAGCGGCGAGTGTCAGGGAGAGATGCTGGACTACAGGCGCATGCTGATGGAAGATTACTCGCTCAGTCCCGAGATCGTGCTGCATTGCAGAGGGGAGATTGACACGCACTGCTCCGGCCTGCACCACAAGGGTCGAACCCTGCACTGCCTCATGAGGGTGTCCCGGGACAAGGGCATCTTGGAAGGCCACTGCCAGAAAGCTGTGAGTGGAAATGCACTTTGGTGCACTCAAATGCTGGTTGGTCCGGTCGATATATCTTGAATATCTCGGATACATTTAGTATTGGCAAAAAATGATATCTGGCATTATTTTGGAAAGAGATATTTTTGGGAATACTGTGTCCATTTGGCTGATTAACAGAAACTCTATTTTCCCCGTTGTGTCAAAACAAAGTATACTAATGGCTTGGTCAAATTACAGTTCACTTTTTTTTTTTTCTTCTTCATGTTTTTTTTTTTCTATAAACAGATGGATATTGATGTGTTTATTGTTTTTCTGTATTTTAGTTTTTAGTTTTTCCTTTGTTTTTGTATTTGTTTGTTCTTTTCTTTGTTTTTGTTAGAACGATAGATATTTGTATCTTTTGGTTTTTGTGTATGTTTGTATTTTAGTTTTGTTTTAGTTATTTTTTGCTTTTCTGATTTGTTTTTTTATTAGTATTTGTTTGTTTTTTTGCTTTGTTTTCATTTAGATGTTTTGTTTGTTATTTATTTTTCTTGTTTTTTTAGTTTTTTGTTTTTGTTTTGATATAGATAGATATTTGTATCTGTTGATTTTTGTTTGTCTTTTAGTTTATTTTTTTGCTTTTGCGATTTTTGTTTTTATTACCGTTTTATTTTTTGTAGATTTTGGTTTTTGTTTAGATGGAGAGAGACTAGATAGATAGATAGCTGTTTAGTCAAAATATTGATTATCCTGATTAAAAAAAAAGAAATGCATAAATATGAAGATAATAAATATCACCAAGAGGCTGAAAAATATCAAGATATTTAGTAATTAGTAATAATAATACATAGTTGTATGCATTCAGTACTTCCTGTGATGAATTGATTTAAATCGTGAATAAAGTCGTGAGATATTCATTCATGTTAAATAATGCAGTGGCTGTGATTATGGCTTTCATAACTGTGTGTCCCATCAGCTCCAGACACTGATACAGGAAACAGACCCCGGGGCCGACTATCGCATTGATCGCGCTCTGAACGAGGCCTGCGAGTCTGTCATCCAGACCGCCTGCAAGCACATCCGAAACGGAGACCCCATGTGAGTGCTCCTGTTTAGATATTTGGGCCAGAGCGCCAGCTAGAAAGCCTTTCTGCCAGTAAACAACAAATGGAACAAATAGTTGCCTAATTAATATTGGAGACGTTTTGCATTTGCGTTTCGTAGCGAAGCCTTTTCTGTTGCTTAAGGCACTGCATATGACACTGCAATAATCGCACTGAACAAACCCGTTCTGCCATAAACTTTCCAGTATGCTGTTGATTGATCTTTACATTTGACCTTGTTTCTGTCAGTTTTGTTCATATTGTGTGTGTGTGTGTAGGATCCTGTCTTGTCTGTTGGAGCATCTGTACACTGTTAAGATGGTTGAAGACTGTGAACACAGATTGCTAGAGCTGCAGTACTTCATCTCCAGAGACTGGAAGTGAGTCACAAACCTCAAGAGTTTAGGTTTCATTCCACACTTTTAATTTGAATCCCACTTTTAATCCCATTTATATACCTTTTGAATGATACTCTTCAAGTGCTTTCTTATTTGTCTTTTTTCCCCCTGTGCTTCAGAAAGAATGCAGTAGAGCTACTTCTTGTGTCGCTATTTAAAGGGGTCATATGATGCTGCTAAAAAGAACATTATTTTGTGTATTTGGTGTAATGAAATGTGTTTATGCGGTTTAAAGTTAAAAAAACACATTATTTTCCACATACCGTACATTATTGTTT